CAATGACATACCCCATGACGTACACACACTTTGCCAACAATACATGCAAATGGAAAACAAGCACATAAAAAGATGATCAGCATCATTATCATTATGGCCATCTGAACTGAAACCACGACATACTCCCTCACACACACTAGAAAGGCTATAATGCAAGAAATGTAAATTAACAAGTGTTGGCAAGGTCAGAGAGAAATCGCAACCCTTAAATACTGTACGGCGAACAGAAATGGTGCATCCTGTGTTTAACATAGTTTGGTAATTCCTCAAAAAGAAGAAAAAAACGGCTGGGCACATCAGTTGATGCCTGTAATCCCAGCACATGGGGAGGCCAAGGCAGGTGCATCACGTGACTCCAGGAGTTCTAGACCATCAAGGACGACATAGCAAAACCAACTCTCTACCACAAATACAAAAATTAGCCAGTTCCTGGTAGAACACACTTGTAGTCCCAGCTACTTGGGAGACCGAAACGGGAGGACTGCTTGAGCTCACAATGTGGAGGTCACAGTAAGCCTTGATCACAACACTGTACTCCACCTTGGGCTACAGCACAGGACCCTGTGTCAAAAACGAAAGCACTGGTATGGTGGTACAGGCCTGTAATTCCAGCACTTTGGGAGGCTGAGAGAGACAAATCATTTAAAGTAAGGAGTTGAAGAGCAGCTTGGCCAATATGGCAAAACTCAGTCTCTACTAAAAATATGAAAATTACCAGGGCTTGTTAGCATGTGCTTGGAATCCCAGCTACCTGGGAGGCTGAGGCAGAAAAACTGCTTGAACCCAGGAGGTGGAGGCTGCAGTAAGCAGACATTGAGCCACAGCATTCCAGCCTGGCTGACACAGCAAGACGCCATCTGAAAAAGAAAAAAGGAAAGAAAACCAAAATGGCTGGGGGTGGCAGGGTGCAGTGTCTCAAGCCTGTCATCCCAGGAATATGGGAGGCTGAGGCGAGCAGAGCACCTGACGTTAGCAGTTCTAGACCAGCCTGACCAACATGAAGAATATATGTCTCTACTGAAAATACAAAAATTACCCGGGCATAGTGGTATGTGCCCGTAATCCCAGCTCCTCAGCTGGCTGTGGTAGGAAGATCACTTCAACCCAGGAGGTGAAGTTTACAGTGAGCCGAGATTGTGCTACTACACTCCTGCCTGGGTGGCAGAGCAAGACTTCGTTTCAAAAATAAATAAATAAATACAAAGGATTAGCTGGGCATGGTAGTGGGCGACTGCAATCTCAGCTACTTGGGAGGCTGAGGCAGGAGAATCATTTGAAACCAGGAGGTAGAGGTTACCGTGAGCCGAGATCACACCACTGTACTCCAGCCTGGAAAACAGAGCAAAAGTCCGTCCATCTCAAAAAAAGAAAAAAAAAAGTGAAAACACAACCCACAGAGAGGAAGAAAATATTTGTGCATTACATATCCAACAGTCTGTTAACCACAACTTATAATTTGTATAACTCAACAACAAAAATTAGAAAACGGAGAAACAGCTAAACATACACTCTGCCAATAAGACATTCAAATGGAAAACAGGCACATAAAAGATTAATAATATCATTAACATTATGGCCATGTAAACTGAATGACATACTCAATGTCATACTCAATGTCATAAACAGTGACATACAAAATGACATACACACATACATACACTCCAACTGGGATAACAGTGCAAGACTTCCTCTCCAAAAGAAAATAGAGACACAGTTAAACACACACTTCACTAATAAGACATGCAAACAGACATCAAGCACATAACAAGATGGTCAGTATCATTACCATTATGACCATCTACACCGAAACCACAATGGTATATACCTTTGACACACACTAGAAAGCCTACAATCTGAAGAAATGTAAAATAACAAGTGTTAGCAAGGTCTCAGAGAAATCACCATCCTTTAATACTGTATGGGGAATATAAAATAATGCAGTCTTTTTTTAAAAAAATATGTATGTTACTGCGTTTTAGATTTTGGGGTACATTTGAAGAATATACAAGATTGTTACATAGATACGTACTTGGCATTACGGTTTGCTGTCTTTCTCCCCATCACCTATATCTGGCATTACTCCCCATGATATCCCTCAGCAACTCCCACTAAATGCCCTCCACAGACCCCAGTGTGTGATGCTCCTTTCCCTTTGTCCATGTGTTCTCACTGTTCAACACCTGAATATGAGTGAGAACATGTGATGTTTGGTTTTCTGTTTTTCTGTCAGTTTGCTGAGATTGATGGTTTCCAGGTTCATCCATGTCCCTACAAAGGACACAAACTTGTCGTTTTCTATGGCTGCATAGTATTCCATGGTGTATATGTGCAACACTTTCCCTGTCATGTCTATCCTCAATGGGCATTTGGGTTGATTCCCAGTCCTTGCTATTGTCAACAGTGCTGCAATGAACATTCGTGTGCATGTGTCCTTATAATAGAATGATTTACAATCCTTTGGATATATAGCCAGTAATGGGATTGCTGGGTCAAATGGAATTTCTATTTCTAGGTCCTTGAGGACTTGGCACACTGTCTTCCACAATGTTTAAACTAATTTGCCCTCCCACCAACAGTGTAAAAGTGTTCCCATTTCTCCACATCCTTTCCAGCATCTGTCGTCTCTAGATTTTTTAACGACTGACATTCTAACCAGTGTGAGATGTTATCTCAATGAAGTTTTGATTTGCATTTCTCTAGTGCATCCTATTTTCAACATAGTTTGTTGTATCCTCAAAAAGGTAAAAATATGCTGGGCAAGATAGCTAATGCCTGTAATAAGAGCATACTGGGAGACCGAGGCAGGTGGATCATGTGAGTCCGGGAGTTAAAAACCAGCCAGGATGACACAGCAAAACCCAATCTCTACTAGAAATACAAAAATCAGCCCCGTACGGTGGCACACACCTGTAGTCCCAGCTACATGGGAGGCTGAGACAGGAGGATTGCTTGAGCCCAGAATGTGGAGGCTGCAGTAAGCTGAGATTGCACCACTGCACTCCAGTCTAGGAGACAGTACAAGATCTCATCTCAAAATGGAAAGGCCGGACATGTGACTCACACCTGTAATCCCAGCACTTTGAGAGGTGGAGGCGGAAGGATTGCTTGAAGTCAGCACTTAAAGACCACCATGGCCAACGTGGCAAAACCCGGTCTCTACTAAAAATATGAAATTTAACCGGGTGTGGTGACATAATCCCAGCTACTTCGGGGGCTGAGGCAGGATAATTGCTTGAACCCAAGAGATTAATATTTCCAGTGATCTGATATCAGGCCACTGTACTACAGCCTGGCAAACAGAGGCAAGATCCCACCTCAGGAAAAAAAAAAAGGAAAGAAAGAAAGAAAAGAAAACCAAAATGCCTGGGACAGGAGGAGTGGAGTGGCTCATGCCTATGATCCAGCACTTTGGGAGGCTGAGATGAGCACGTACCTCAGGTTGGGAGTTTGAGACCAGCCTTATCAACATAGATAATCCTCGTTTCTACTGAAAATACAAAAATAAGCTGGGCATGGTGGCGCCCACCTGTAGTCATAGCTACTTGGGAGGCTGAGACAGGAGGATTGCTTGAGCCCAGAATGTGGAGCTTGCAGTAAGCCGAGATCACACCACTGCACTCCAGCCTGTGAGATGGCACAAGACCCTGTCTCAAAAAAGAGAGGCCGGGCATGGTTGTTCAAGCTTGTAATCCCAGCATTCTGGGAGGCCGAAGCAGACGGATCACTTGAGGTCAGGAGTTTGAGACCAGCTTGCCCAACATGGTGAAACCCCGTCTCTACTAAAAACATGAAAATTAGTCAGGCATGGCATCAGACACCTGTAATCCCAGCTACTTGGGATGCTGAGGCAGGAGAATTGCTTGAACCCAGGAGGAAGAGGTTCCAGTGAGCAGTTATCAGGCCACAACACTCCAGCCTGGCCGACAGAGCAAGACCCATCTCAAAATAAAAAAGAAAGAAAACCAAAATACCTAGGAGTGGCAGGTGCAGTGGCTCACGCCTGTAATCCCAGCAATATGGGAAGTTGAGGTAAGAAGATCAACTGAGGTTGAGAGTTTGAGACCAGCCTGACCATTATGGAGAAACGCCATCTCTATGAAAAATACAAAAAATTTTTCTGGCGTGGTGGCACTGACCTGTAATCACACCTAGTCAGGAGGCTCAGGGAGAAGAATCACTTGAACCCGGTAGGTAGAATTTGCAGTGAGCCAATATTGCACTACTGCACTCCCGCCTGGGTGACAGAGCAACACACCGTCTCAAAAATCAATAAAGAAATACAGAAAATTAGCTGGGCATGGTAGTGGGAGACTGTAATCTCAGCTAGTTGGGAGGCTGAGGCAGGAGAATCATTTAAAACCAGGAGGCAGTGGTTGCCATGAGCCGAGATCACACCACTGCACTCCAGCCTGAGAAACAGAGCAAGAGTCCGTCCATCTCAAAAAAAAAAAAAAAAAAAAAAGTTAAAACACAACCCACAGAGAGGAAGAAAATATTTGTGCATTACAAATGTAACAGTCTGTTAACCACAATGCATAATTTGTATAACTCAACAACAAAAATGACAAAACGGAGAAACAGCTGAACATACACTCTGCCTGTAAGACATTCAAATGGAAAACAGGTACATAAAAGATGAGTAATATCATTTTCTTTATGGCCACTTAAACTGAATGATATACTCAATGTCATACTCAATGTCATACACAATGACATACACGCACTTTGCCAATAATACATACAAATGGAAAACAAGCACATAAAAAGATAATCAGTATCATTATCATTATGGCCATATAAACTGAAACCACGACATACTCCCTCACACACACTAGAAAGGCTATAATCCAAGAAATGTAAATTAACACATGTTGGGAAGGTCAGAGAGAAATCACAACGCTTAAATAGTATGGGGAAAAGAAACGTTGCATCCTGTTTTTGACATAGTTTGGTAATTCCTCAAAAAGAAAAAAACTGCCTAGGCACATCAGTTGATGCCTGTAATCCCAGCACATGGGGAAGCCGAGGCAGGTGCATCACGTGACTCCAGGAGTTCAAGACCAGGAAGGTCGACATAGCAAAACCACCTCTCTACCGGAAATACAAAAATTAGCCAGTTCATGGTGGCGCACTCCTGTAGTCCCAGCTACTTGTCAGGCCAAAACGGGAGGACTGATTGACCCCACAGTGTGGAGGTCACAGTAAGCCAAGATCACAAGCCTGCACTCCAGCTTGGGCGACAGTACAGGGCCCTGTCTCAAAAAAGAAAGCACGGGCATGGTGGTTCACTCCTGTAATCCCAGCACTTTGGGAGGCTGAGACGGTCAAAACATTTAACGTTAGGAGTTCAAGAGCAGCTTGTACAATATGGCAAAACTCCGTCTCGTCTAAAAATACGAAAATTACCGGGACTTGCTAGCATGTACTTGGAATCCCAACTACTTGGCAGGCTGAGGCAGGAGAACTGCTTGAACCCAGGAGGTGGAGGCTGCAGTAAGCTGACATTCAGCCACTGCACTCCAGCCTGGCTGGCACAGCAAGATAGTGTCTGAAAAAGAAAAAAGGAAAGAAAACCAAAATGCCTGGGAGTGGCAGGGTGCAGTGACTGACGCCTGTTATCCCAACAATTTGGGAGGCTGAGGCGAACGGAGCACCTGACGTTAGCAGCTCAAGACCAGCCTGACCAACATGAAGAATACGTGTCTCTACTGAATATACAAAAATTAGCTGGGCATAGTGGCATATGTCTGGAATCCCAGCTCCTCAGCTGGCTGAGGAAGTAAGATCACTTCAACCCCGGAGGTGAAGCTTGCAGTGAGCTGAGATGGTGCTACTGCACTCCAGCCTGGGTGACAGAGCAAGACTCCATTTCAAAAATAAATAAATATATACAAAAGGTTAGCTGGGCATGGTAGAGGGAGACTGTAATCTCAGCTACCTGGGAGGCTGAGGCAGCAGAATCATTGGAAACCAAGAGGTAGAAGTTGCCATGATTCGAGATCACACTACTGCACTCCAGCCTTGGAATCAGTGCTAGAGTACATCCATGTAAAAAAAAAAAAAAAAAAAAAAAAAAAAACTGTAAACACAACCCACAGAAAGAAAGAAAATATTTGTGTATTACATATCTAATAGTCTGTTAACCACAATGTGTAATTTGTATAAATCAACAACAAAAACAATGAAATAACAAAATGGAGAAACGGCTGAACACACACTCTGCCTCTAAGACATCCAAATGGAAAACAGGCACATAAAAGATGAATAATATCATTATCATTATGGCCATCTAAATTGAATGGCATACTCAATGTCATACACAATGACATACACACACTTTGCCAACAATACATGCAAATGGAAAACAAGAACATAAAAAGTTGATCAGTATCATTATCATTATGGCCATCTAAACTGAAACCACGACGTACCCTCTCACACACGCTAGAAAGGCTATAATCCAAGAAATGTAAATTCACAAGTGTTTGCAATGTCAGAGAGAAATCACGACCCATAAATACTATACGGGGAATGGAAATGGTGCAGCCTTTGTTTAACATAGTTTGGTAATTCCTCAAAAAGTTAAAAACAGCCTGGGCACATCAGCTGATGCCTGTAATCCCAGCACATATGGATGCTGAGGCAGGTGCATCACGTGATGCCAGGAGTTCAAGACCAGTCAGGACGTCATGGCAAAACTCCCTCTCTACTAGAAATACAAAAATTAGCCAGTCCATGGTGACATACACCTGTAGTCCCAGCTACTTGGGAGGCCAAAACGAGAGGACTGTTTGAGCCCACAATGTGGAGGTCACAGTAAGCCAAGATCACAACCCTGCACTCAAGCTTGGGTGACAGCATAGGACCCTTTCTCAAAAATGAAGGGGCAGGCATGGTGGTTCATGCCTGGATTCCCAGCACTTTGGGAACCTGAGGCAGGCAGATCACTTGAGGTTAGAAATTAAGAGCAGCTGGCCATATGGCAAAACCCCGTCTCTACTAAAAATACGAAAATTACCCAGGCAAGAGAGCATGCACTTGGAACCCTAGCTACTTGGGAGGGTGAGGCAAGAGAACTGCTTGAACCCAGGAGGTGGAGGCTGCAGTAAGCTGAAATTCAGCCACTGCACTCCAGCCTGGCTGAAACAGCAAGATTCCATCTGAAAAAGAAAAAAAGAAAGAAAACCAAAATACCTGGGAGTGGCAGGGTGCAGTGGCTCACACCTGTAATCCCAGCAATTTGGGAGGCTGAGGCAAGCAGATCACCTGATGTTAGCAGTTCAAGACCAGCCTGACCAACATGAAGAACACCTGTCTCTACAGCAAATACAAACATTAGCCGGGAATAGTGGCATGTGCCTATAATCCCAGCTCCTCTGCTGATTGAGGTAGGAAGACCACTTCAACCCAGGAGGTGAAGTTCGCAGTGAGCCGAGATGGAGCTACTGCACTCCAGCCTGGGCCACAGAGAAAGACTCCGTCTCAAAAAACATTCAAATACTTTCACACTACAATAGTTATACTAAAAAACAAACAAAAAAAAGAGTTCACAAAGATGTGCAGAGACTTGAACCCTTAAACACTGCTTCTGACAGTATTAAATGGTCCAGCCTATGTGTAAAATCATTTGCTGTTTCTTCAAACAGTTGCAAATAGATTTGCCATATGACTCAATGATTCCCTTCCTCGATATATACCACAAAGAACTGAAGACAGGTGTTCAAACAAAAGCTTGTATGCTGTTTAAATGTGTCAAGGTGACAAATATGCCAGAAAGTCTGGGGAACCGTTCCGGGAAAAGAAAACTGGATCACAACAATGAAAAAACACATCATACTCCCAGGAGGAACAGAAGGTAAAAGTGAAATGAGTTTGTAGACTGAATCATCATGTAGGAACCATGCTGATTTCCTGATCTAGGGGTTATGTGGTGGTTACCTGGGAGAGTGTACTTTGGGTAAAATATACTGAAGTATTTTCTGGGACACTGTAAATCTGGTACAGCAACAACTGCTGCAAAATCTAAGAGAAGAAACAGGTTGTACTTTGTACTGCTATTGGAAGATTCCTAGAAGTATGACATTATTGGAAAGTAAATTACTTTTTAAAACAACCATATCAATACCATGCCAGGAAAGCAAAGACCTCATCAAAATCCATTATAGAGGCTGTAGTTCAACCAAAGCTATGAAATCCTTATAAAAGTCTCAATGTCAACACAGTCCAGTTAGTAGACATTATTGTATTTACTAGTATTAGAAGTTACGGTGCGGATATATTAGTGTTATGCCATGATGTGGATATTAGTGTTAGGGCATGGTGTGATTACTATATTAGAGACCACTGTGAGAATATTTATTAGCAGCCACTGTGTCTTGGACCCTGACAACATCAGAGTGTGGTCAAAACAGTGGATTTGAGGGTTTTGTTTTTCTAGCTGAATTACTTCCTCTGCTGAGTACTCTCTAGAGACTCTCTCCTCTGCACTCAGGGCTTTGGACAGGAAGTTTTTTGCTCACTAATGAACAACACCAAGTTGACACGACCTTCATGCTGCCCTGAGGAAGATAAAGCTCCTTGCTGGTTCTTGCACTTCAGAGGGAAGTTGCTCAGGGGTGTGTTCCTGCACCTCTGGTGATGCCAGAGCTTAGCACAGACACTCTTGCTCTGTTTTTAGGGGATGGAAGACTTTGGAAGCCATGAAGAATGAAATGAATATATACACAAGTTAAGAAAAACAAAAACCTACTCAAAATAGTGCAGAGACTGTAATTTTAATGCAAAACTATACAAAATCTAAAAGAAAATCTATATGACGTGAGTTTGGTGTTGAGGTGTAACACAAAACATCAAATGCCAATTCATGAATATATTTATAACACTGACTTTATAAAACTAAGTATTCTACTGTGTAAAACTGTATTCAGAGAAGAAAAAGACAAGAGATATGTCAGAAGCTATTTACAAAATACATACGTGACTTTAAAACTGCGTAAATATCTGAACAGATACGTAACCAAAGCAAATATATAGATAGTAGGCTGGGCATGGTGGCTCATGCCTGTCATCCCAAAACTTTCTAAGGCTTAGACAGGTCAATAATCTGAGGTGAGGAGTGCCAGACCTGCCTGACCAACATGGCGTAACCCCGTCTCTATGAAAAATACAGAAAATTAGCCAATCGTGCTGGTGGGCACCTGTAATCCCAGATACTTGGGAGGCTGAAGCAGGAAAATCACTTAAACATGGGAGGTAGAAGGTGCAATGAGCCAGTATCGTGCCATTGCACTCCAAACTGGGTTTCAGAGCAAGACTCCATCTCAAAAAAAAAAAAAATGTTAATAACATATCAGATACATGTTGATATGTTAATACGAGGGGAAACTAGTTTGGGCCTACACAGGAAATCTGCATTTTCCTCCCAATTTCAGTGTGAATCGAAAACTAATTTAAAATAAAACCTTTATTTTAAAACTGTAAATTTTTTTCAAATATCTGCTTACGAATTTGTACTAATAATAAGTAGTAATTGACACTAGCTACTCCTACTTTTCAAAACAAGGGCATTCATGATGCTGCAAAGTAATTGATGCAAACATATATAATTTCAATGAAATGCGTATTTTACAAGATATTTGTTAAAACAACACATCCATGTAAACATATTTATCATATTTTTTTCCTTGTGGTGTGGTTCACTCTCTAAGAAATCTGGAAGACTTCATGAGGTTGTGTCATGGGTATGTCCTTAACCTTGGCGAAGTAAGCTTTCTACTTTCTGAGACCTCACTCAGATATTTTGGGATCACAATCCGCAATCACCATGGTATGACATTTGACTACAGCATTCAGTACAGACATGAGCTATACAGGTATGTAGCCTGAAAGCAAGAAGCTATACCCTATCACTTATATCTGAAGTGGGCTACACCATCCAGGTTTCATAAGGACACTCGATGGTGTTTGCACAAAGATGAAATCACTAAGGACACATTTCTCAGAAAGTATCCACATTGTTAGGAGATACTTGAGTGTATTTTAAATGGTTAAAGCCCAGGAATAAAAAAAAAAAGCAACTGCACTCCTCCTATGGTTTAATAACAAAACTTAATAGAGTTAACATATTTCATCAAATCTAAGATGCTAATAATTAACAAATATTATTTTATGCAACATCACAAATAGGTTGCCAATAAAACCGACTTTCTGAATGACAACAAAAATGTAAACTTACTTCTATTAATGCCAGGAATGTCAAATGAAAGCGAATTATTGGTTTTGACATGTTAGAGCAAAAATGGAGGATGCTGTTAGCCTGAGGACTTGCCTAAGCAAACGGAAACCGAACTTCGAGGCATGTAAACTGACTGAAAAACATAAAAAACAACCAGTTAATGTCAAAAAGCCCAGCTGCAAGTTGGCTGCATGACTATTGACGCTGAGGGAACTATCCCCACAACCGGCGGTCTCCCTGCTGGAGCCAATGAGAAACCTCACTTAGCTGCCACCGCTAAGAGCTCAAAGCTCCAAGCCCTAATTTTCATTCAGGTGCTTCAGGCATGATTCATGAATCATGCCTTCCTTCAAATTTGCCTAAAATTCTTCTAATCCCTAAATCCTAACCTCTCACCCTAACCCTTAACCCTAATCCTCACCCTAAACACTAAGCACACGTTA